AAAATCCTTTAGTGCCTGCCATTCACATATCTGACTATTTTTTGTAATTTTGTTGACATGTCTGGCACAAAGTTAAAAATGTCAGGTAAAACTTCATCAGCCCGATATAACTAGAATCAAGTTATTTCCAGGCCTGGATATGCTAAAACTCTGATCTATTCCTAATAATGCAGAACACAATTTTCTCTTAAGATTATTCTACACATCACAGTCAACACTTCCAACTATTTGCTTTAATTCATAAAGTGATCTGCTCTGTAAGCTGTCATCCACTGTGAATGATTTTGTCGAATATGTTCTTTTAAATTATCCTTCTGAGTAAAAGACTTTGGACAAACTGGACACTGAACTCGCTGTTTTAAATGTTTACCATTAATATGTCTGTCAAGATGAGATTGAAATTTAAATGTCTTCCCACAAAATGAACACATCTTGGCTTCCTGTGCCTACAAATAACAAAGGAAAATTACAGAATATCTAACAGTAACATCAGCTATTCTTGTTTGCAGGATTATCTTTTTCACACTTAAGTAGCCAAATTGGGTAATTAATTAACATCAGCTATTCTCACATTGCGGTCCTCTGTAATCATTACAATACAAATAACAGGACATTTCAACAACAATAAAGAAAATTAAATCTCTATATACCAAGTTCTTTAACACCACATCAAACTTATACATAATACAAAATGTGTTCATAAAGGATTGCTGCACACAAAACAATGTCAACCAATCAGTTAACACAGCAATGTCAACCAATGGGTAAAAAAGAACAATGTAACCAAATCTGTAAACTAATCTGTAAAGCACAACAACGTGAACCAATCACTAAATTACAAGAATGTAAACCAATCTGTAAAACACAAAAATGTCAACGAAATCGGTAAATCACCATAATGTGAACAAATCAATAAAATACAAAAGTGTAAAAAAATCGTTAAAACACAACAATGTCTATGAATCAGTAAATTACAACAGAAAAACAAAAACACAACAATATCAATCATCAGTAAAAAACAACAATATCAGCAATCAATAAAGACCATCAATGTCAACTATCAGTAAAGAATATCAATGTAAACCAATCAGTAAAGCACAATATTGTCAACCAATCAGTAAAATACAATACTGTCAACTAATCGGTAAAGTACAATATTGTCAACCAATCAGTAAAGTACAATGTTGTCAATCAATCATCAGTAAAGTAAAATATTGTCAACCAATCAGTAAAGTACATGTACTTCAATGTAAACCAATCACTGAAACACAACAATGTAAACCAATCACTGAAACACAACAATGTAAACCAATCAGTAATGCACAATGTTGTAAACCAATCAGTAATGCACAATGTTGTAAACCAATCAGTAAGCACTAGAATGTACCTGTAAGCATATCAGTAAGGCACAGCAATGTAAATAATTAAATCCTTTCAAAAGTTCACAACTTAATCAGCCCTAGTATTAGTGCATTTAGTGGTAATTTTTTACTTTTTTTAATGAACCAAGTATTCTCTGTTTACCTACATAGATTAAGTACGTTTACAATGTTATTTTTAATAACGATGTCATCTTTCCTTCTGAAAAATTGTGTCCTCATCGATCACGAGGGGACAAAGACATAAGATATAAATATAATAATTTCATAAGACTGGCCTTATAAGGTCATTACTAGATTCTAATAAATTAATGCCTCAGCATATCGGAATCAATACTGAGTACAGGTATTACCAGAGTCATAAAATGTAGAATAATGCCAACTGCAGTCACAATTTTCTTATCCAAAGTGTAAGTAAAATAGATCAACATCAGAACAAAACAAGTATAAAATAATGATTTAATGTTCTACTTTTCTACACGGTCTCTTGGCTAATGAAAACAAACATAATGATAGTTCTGTATAATTCCACATGAAAAATCAGGTAAAACAAATTTAAAATTAGATACAGTCATCTTCATTAAACAATGTCATCTATCAGTCTATGAAATTTTATTATTCATAATGTTTCTACTGCAGTCTAATGATAGTTGAAAGACTTTAAATTAAGCACATATCTTCCATTAAGGACAGACCATATCTGCCATTATGGACAAAACATTTCTTCCTTTAAGGACAAACCATTTCTGCCTTTAAAGGCAAACTATGCCTGCTTGAAGGACAAACGAATCATTTGAAGGACTAGAAATTTCAGTTATTAGATAGACTATATTATTAGTATAGTATAGATACAGTAAAATATTGGGTATATTTCTATATGTATCAATAATAAACTTATCATAAAACTTACCTGCACATGTATAACCCGATATATAACACACACATAAGATACAATTTTATTAGCTAGAGCTGGTGGCAAGCTGTTTTATGTTTTGAAAGGCTTCCAGAAGTTTCAATTTTATAGTTATTTGTTAATTGTATGGGGCTTCTTCTGACACATCTTGTGACCTTCATGATATTGGCCAGGTACATGTAGTGCCAACTTGTAGGTCACAAGAGCTGGGAGTCTGGAGGATGCTGCAAGCCTTCCCTAACTACGAGTTCTTATGGGGGTGTCATGGGACTAAGACCTCAAACATTATGTTTGTTTGGATGGTTATAATGCCAGGAATTCTAATTATGAGGTGAGGGGGCGGGGTGCCAGGAACCAGTTTGATCATTCTAGCTCAATGAGAAGGAGGGTTATTGTGTCCCAAACAATGTGAAGGGCAGACAGACGGACAGATCCCTTTTAATAGTCGCCCTGCTTTCTTCGAAAGGCGGAGAACAAATAAAATAATTTGTGAATATATAGACAATGTGAATTGTAATTCCATTTTTGCATAAATGATAGTGACCAGGGGATCCAAATTCTGATCATGGCAACTACAATGTACTTTGCCTGCACAATGGAAATTAATTTGAATGTGTTTGGTGAACTACCTTAAGTGGGGGACAATTGGGCATTATGTAAAATATTTCCGCCAGCAACAAATAATAAGCACTATAAAATATAATTCTGAGGTCTTATTCATGAAAAATTGAAACTCGTATATTTTAGGATGCTGCCTTTTCATTCATTGGCTAGAAACTTAAATCCTAATCTAATAGTTCAGCTTTCCATGAATAAAGCCTCTCTATTGTTTTTCAGGCCTTCACGGTAGAGGAGAACAAATTGTTCACTCACGTACAGAATCCTTTCGAGGTGAGCTTTTAATCGATCAACCGAAACACAGAGGTAAAAACTTCAGTGATTTATTCATTCTAAATTGAATTAGAAGGCACCAAGATATTTAGGTTTGATACAGTGTCAACCATAAAATAGCTTTTTGAAAGGTTTTACTGGAGCAATTAAGTAAGCTTTTATTGGGATATTGATTTTGAGCCAAGGAACTCAAGTTGTTGTGAGATTTCTTACCTCTTCTGGAATTTGGAAACGTGAAGGCCTAGTTTTCTACTACATGTACAAGCTTAAGAATAAGAGTAACATTACAGTATGATATTTCAGTCCAGTTAAATACAACAGATTTCATTGAAAGGGGTTGTTATATTGGTTTATCTTAATTTTTCTCACTTTCTCACTTTAAAAGTTGTTTTGATGGGATGAAAAACTGAGATCTCATGTCTACCATTGGTAGCATTTTAAAGATCCCCTGGAAAATGAAATCACAGTAGGCTAAATGCCACTGTCCGAATAAAATTTCACTCGTAGCATACTGCTCATTTTCTTTAGTCTTTTGGTACAGAAAGGTTGGATGATAAACCTGTTTCATTTCTTCTAAATTTTCTTTATTCAAGTGATTTAAATATCAAAGAGAAAGTAAGTCAGAGCCACAGTGGCTCAGTAAGTAAGGCAGTCTCAACAACCAGGAGGTCCTGGGTTCTCTGGATTTTTCAGTGTCGTTTCCCCCTTGTCAGAGTTTGGCAAAGAACAGTGTATAGTCAATTGGATGGGTTGAAAAACTGAGGTGTGCATGTAAAAGGACTCTTGGCTGTTTTAATTTAATGAAGAGTAGGCAAAATTTCTATCACAGCACAATGTATGGCATATGCCCGTCTTCATTACACCCAGTTGGTGCAGAACAGTAGGGCGTTAAATCTCATTTCATTTAAAAAAAGTAATTCTTTTTGTTCATTTGTAAGACAAGTTAAATATATATGCCCAACAACAACGAGAATATTTTGCCAAGATAAGTTGTATTTAAGAGGACCGGAAAATCATTATAAAATAAACATTGTCTTAAATTAGTAGAATTTAATTTCTGGAGGTCACATAAATTTCTCTGATAAAACACAAACTAAAAGTAAAATCTCCTTTGCATATTATTCAAGCGAGAAAATGCACCACCATTCAAAACTAGCTTTTATTATCTCACCCCACTGCTCTTAAAAATCAAATTTATTGATGCTTAAAGGATTGAGTTTTGATACACACTATTGATGTATTGAATGTAAAAATTTACAAATTAAATAAAAACCGTTCAAGAATCAAAAGATCGTTTTCAGCTAATCCAAACTCAATGAAGCACAACTTGTGTCCTGATTAACTGTATCAATTTTCTATTGTCCTTAAAGTTACTAAAATTATTATGAATATTATATATGAGTAATGTGAAAAATTTTGTAGTCAAGTGCATCTAGTATTAAAAAGATACAGTAATTCAAGTATTGACATCATGTAAAAGTAAAAATGAGAATTTACATCGAAGTTTGCGACTTGCAATTTTCATTACCAATCAGAGTCCGTGTGATGAGGGAAATATCCCAGATCATGTCAAATAGGCTACTACTTATTTTGGGCAACAAATTTATTATTTCCATCAGAATGAAAAACCAAGCTACAACAATAACTGGATTGAAGTAGTGTACTGACGTGGCATTAAACCCTATTCCATTTAATATATTAGTTCAATCAATGTTTATATAATATAACTGCAATCTTTTAACGTTTTACTAGAAATAAAATTCTGATTTATTTAAGACAATGTTTATCTTTCTATATAATAACGAAATATAACGTACCTGCTGATTATTTTGACCAGAAGTGGTGCTGGTACCAGCAACTGAAAATATAAGTACGGTATAATAATTGAAAATCCTAAAAAATAAGAAATTAGTTGTTAAGGGAGACAGAGAGATAGAGAGAGAGATGGGGTTTAACGTCCACTCGACACAAACTAGGTCATTTTGAAACTAACACATGGTTGAATTTTATTTCAATAATTTGCATGCGGGTAGGTGTCTTTAGCAGTGGGGGGACTCGGAGAAAACCCACGAGGTAGAACAGACGACCCTACTCCTTGTCACGTACCAGGCACTTGCTAACCATTTGGCCATTCAACCCCAAAGGACATCTGCAGCATGCAGTCACAGACAATGTCAGATATAAATTCAGACTTTGTTAGGAACAATCAATCAAGTGCCAGCTGTGTATTTGTTGAAATTTTTTAATACATGTCCAGTACAAAGTTTAAATTGTCAGTTACTAAATCTTAGTTTAGTAGTGCCAGAATTTTGTCACAGAATTAAATTTATTTCCTCGTTAGAGCTTTAACTACTACACAAACTGCAAGTAATAATCACAAACCACAAAATTTTATCCAAATCAATTGCCTTTAAAGATGCATTAGGTAAGATTTAGATAAGGACGTGGTCGTTCTTGCTACATGTATAATAGTTCAAAAATAGATAATGCAAAATGAATATATTGCAAATTTAATTCAAATTACTTTATTCTGAGCGTGGTTATAATTGTTTGTAGTTCTGACAAGATGTGTGCCTTGATTGTTTATTATCTTAACCATGGTACTAGTTATTCAAGCCTGTATCATAAGGCTTGTCATTGAGTCAACTGGCGTGGTTTCGAATCCCCGGTTGTACATGACAAGGACTAGGGTTGCCTGTCCAACCTCGTGAGTTTTCTCTGGGTCCTCCCACTGCTAAAGACCCCTACACGCAACTGAATTATTGAAATAAATGTAAACCATACGTTAGTCCTGAAATGACCTAGTCTGGGTCAAGTGGACATTAAACGTCATTTCTCTCTCTCTCTCTGGTTATTCAAGACTTAGCTTTGCTTATCCATTTTAAGTCAAATTATTAAATGGCCAAACTGTTCTAATCTACTTAAAATCGGAGCCATCTGATGACATAGAGAGTTGATTATGGTCTTGTCATGTTAATAATTTACATGTAAAAAACATTTGAGGCCTGAAGAATGACCTGCAAATAGGCAGATTTAGATCTTGAATAATGCATCTTTAAATGGTGACTGTAAAGCAGAGCTCCCATTTCTGTCCTATTTGCAAGTATTTACTGACTGGTAGTGAAATTGATCAATTGGAGAACTAACCTGCCATAGAATCAAAACTCTAAAGAATTTAAAGATACATTCTCACAAATGAAAAAATTATTTGTCGGGTGGTTATTTCCAATAAAAGTATGACAAATTTTATAGTATACATGGATATGGTAAGTACAGACACCCAATCTTAATAGAAAAATACTGGATTACCCAATAAACACCCATGGGGCAAGCACTGAGCAAAAATGTCAGGGATCACTAACTGGCAACTCGATAGTTTATTGTCTGCCAGCTTTACTTATGGAGTGGTTGTTATATTTTGATTGAATGGTTTGGCAGTTTTGGGAGCATTGAGGGGTGTAAACATATAATAGACTTTGCAATTAAATCGCAGAAAAGATATTGGCACAATGTATAGGCCAATAGGCCTAGTTGCTGTTCTTCATTTAGTTCTAGGAATCTTACCTGGTAAATAGCCAGCACCATGTTGAGAACTAGGTAAATTAGGAATGTCAGAACCAAGTAAATTTTGAGCAGAGTTATTGCCAGTTTCATTAGCATGTAAACCAACAGGATAAAGTCCTAAACTTTGTTCACGTAAACTAGCGAAAAATTCATCATCATTTGATTCACCTCCGAAACTAGAAAGACTATTATCACCTTGACCTGAAAGATGAAAACAGACTTCAATTGTTTATACTGATGATGACCCTGTAATATATCAGGGATATATATTTCTAAAATGTACCCCTTGAAATTTGTTCCTTTTTATTATAAATCTGATTAGACCTTTCAATTATTCAGACTATATTTTGATCAACTTTATGATTATTTTCCCAGAGGTGTTTTACCTTGTTAGCTTGTCCAACTTTAAAACTGTGAAGATTTAAAGAAACCGATTATATCATAAATTGTTAAAGCAGCATTTTTAGTAACTGAATCAGGATAAACCCGAAACGATTATGGGCTATTTTCACAAAAACATACAAATAACAGTAAAGACAAATTTTGAAAAGTAATTATGAATTTTTATGAAAATTTTCACTGTATTCTTTTTATAACTGAAGAGGAGGTATATATGCAACAGCCATGCAGGACTCTTAAAAATGTGAAAAAATCAAATTTGTAAGAATTTCTTTCCAGTTATTACTATGTAAAAGACCATGTAAACAGTAAAGACATAACAGAAAAGACAAAAATTCAAAGTCATTAATTTGACTCCAGTTGTCTAAATAAATATTTGTATACCATTAGAAAGAATTAAAAAAAGCAATTACAACAGATTATAATTTTAACAAAATACATTTCAAGAAGTCTTTTCCGTTATCATTATTTATAATATGCTTTGACTGTCTGAACTCATTCACATTGCATAAACTATGCATGATATTAACAGAGTGCCTTGAAAACCTTATTTCCTGATTTACTGAATGAAAACCTCTCCATAAGTCAGTATTTCATCTCTTGGAACAGACCAACAGAAGTGACATACAGTTAATGTAAATTGTTCTAAAAATTTGGACAAAAACAATATTTTATACAGCTGATTTCTATTTCTTCTTTAAATACATGTAGCTAATAGGGCATTTTATTCAGCTATACATTGCATTGATATACTGATTTCATTTTGAATAATAACCATGTCAATATTTTCCCAAAGAAGGGACTTCCATGTACAATATATAAGATTATTTGACGGTTGCGAAAATTTTATATCATATATTGGGTAAACCGTTTTTTTTCCGTTATTTGTACGTTTTTGTGAAAATATAGCCCTTATATGGAATACAAGATTGGCAATGTTTTGACAATTGTTCCCTTGTCTTTATCTTTGTGGGAGAACCCTTGTCGAAACATTGCAAGGAATAAACAATAACATTGATACAGCAAACTCCAAACAGTTTCATGTAAACATATGATAGTCACACATATAAGTTTAATGTAGATATAGATGAACCTACTTGTGTAAGAAATATCATCTGTAACAGCACCATGTTGTGTTTGATATTGCTGGGTACCAGTATTAAACATACAACTACCACTATTTTCTAAAACTCCTTCAAGTTCATCTTTCACTTTCGTCAAATCAATATCAATTTCTATCACTTCTGGTTCATCAGGACTTTTACTTAGTTCCGTTATTTCTGTCGGAAGAGTTTCTGGAGGAGGATCTGATGCCGGTTTATCAGAGTCACTAGTTTCACTATTTTTACTTTCACTTTCTTTGTCTTTTTCAGTTTCAGGCACAAATGATAAATCATGACTAGTCACAGACTCTATTCTAAGTTCTTTTTCTTCTCCTTCACTTGTTGCATCTTTATTACTAGCTACAACACTACCATTTTCTACTTTTATCACTTCAAATTTAATGTCAGGTTTTTCTGCAGTTTTTTCTCCAACCTTTTCCACATATCCGGATTCTGTTTCTGGTTTATCAGCTCCAGGAAGAGATTGAGCTGGGGTGGCGGAAACTGATTCAGGTGGAATGGACGACGGAGATAAAGTATTTGTTGTGGATGTTGAAATTATGCTTGGTGATGATTGTAATCTTTGAGATAAAGGGATTGGCATTCTACGAGGCGATGTCGAAGGTGATATGGTGGGATGACGCTGAGGGGATGATAAACGAGGCATTTTAGCCATTTGCTGTGGTGACATTCTCTGATCAAATGGCCTCCTCCTCATCTGAGGTGATCTATGATGAATCGGATATCCACCCTGAGGTCTGGTAAACTGATTTCGTTGAGGTGATATCTGTGGATTATATCGTCCCCCACTCATGGAGCCCTGCGGATGGTCATCTGTTAAGTCAACACTGATATCATATCGAGTTTTTCCCAACACATTTGGAGTGGGAGGAGGAAGAGGTCTATCTACATTTTTCTTTAGTGTTTTTTGTTGGGGATCAGTGGCATAAAAACTTTTACTGATAAATGTTGTTGAAGATTCATCACTTTTGGACACTTTTTCATTAACGATATAATTAAATTCTGAGTTACTGTCAACAGTTAAATACAAATGGCCCACAACTTTCACATTTTTATCAAAATCAACATGGCCGTGGCACACAGCTTGTAAATTCTTCACCAGGGCAGAAATAAACTGGTTAGCTGATTTCTCATTGAGGTCCATTCTGCTATCATCAACATTCCTAAAAAAGACAATACCATTAGTTGTAAGTACATGTATTATACGTTTGTATAATTTAAATATAGTCAGCAGAGGATGCTAAACTAAAAGCTGACAAATTTTTAAATCATCATACATGTAAATACAACATATTGTATTTGTAATGCCATGGAATTTGGTTTGATTTTCTTTTTTTAGAGATTCGCCTTTCCAACTCACCAAGGATTATCATCAATTACTGCCTCTTATATGATAGTCTTACTAGGTGCTGTTGGTTGATCTGACTACTTTTACTTAGGTTTGTATGTGGATTGGGTTTGGGTTAGGGTTAGGGTAGTACGGTAGTCAGATCAGCCAACAATGCCTCTTACTCTTAACCAAGTGACTTGTTTCAGTGTCTATGAGGAGGGCCAAACTAACGGTACAGACAGTATTTTGTTTACGTTTTTGATATGGCGAAAAATGCTTCCTTTTTGGCGAACAAACAAGAATTAGGAGGACCACGGCAAGTAGGCTACTAGGTGTACGAAAGTGCATTAATTAGCGCCAAAAATACAAGGTAAGGACTTCAAAACGGTGGGAAGAGAGTGGTATTTCCATTAAGTTCATATTGCAAATTAATATGGACGGACAGGAATGGCCAGAGCACTTCTTCTGTTCGGTAAGGAACTACATAGCCTACGTGTATTATTGTTGTAGGTGAACACACAGGAAGTGAGATAAATCCCAAGATTAATTTTATAATTTATGCACCGTTTGGACATAGTTGCTCAGTTGAAAATATGTCCGAGAACAAAAGAATGCTCTAAGACTTTAAACAGATTTATAAATGCATTCAAGGTTGGTGAAATACCTCAGTGATAACTGCAACAGCTCAAATATTTCAGAAAATTTACGACCACAACCATTACAGACACAATGTACTAAACATGGCCGAGTTAGAAAGACATAACGACCCTAAACTATAACGGCCAAAATAATTGGTCATAACGACCAAATAAATTGGTCGTAACGGCCGTACAAATAACTTAGAAATTTTCTAATGTTCATTTATATTGAACAAACAGCTTGAACACCCATTAGTAGCAGATGTTTATCATCTGCTATTATCATACGAGTTCAACAGTAAAGACGTCGTCTTTTGCTGGCTCCCCAGTCACGTAGATATAAGGGGGAATGATCAAGCAGATTTTGCTGCCAAAGCTGCTTTAGATCTTCCCCAATCACCCTTTTTAATACCATATAAAGATTTTAATTCGTGTATAAATCATTTTATTTATGACCGCTGGCAACGGTCTTGGGATTTTGCAGGCACAAATAAACTTCATCACATTAAGCCTCTCCTAGGATATTGGCCCAACTCCTATAGAACCAACAGGAGGGATGAAGTTGTTTTGTGTCGCTCTCGCATTGGTCATACTTTTTTAACTCATATTTTCATTTTGAAGCGAGAGCCTCAACCGGAATGTGTTCACTGTCATGTTCCTTTGACAGTGAAACACATCTTGATTGAGTGCAAACATCTCAAGAACATTAGATCTAAATATTACCGTTGCCAGTCAGTACGTCAGCTATTTGCTCAACCGGAGCTATATGACAAAGTGCTAACATTTTTAAAAGAGACAAACTTTTATAATCAATTTTAATTGTATATATTTAATCATGTATATCGTTTTAAATATTTATATATGTAAAAGATTTGTTACATTTATTTTTAATTAATATATTTTCTGTGATATTTGTTTTTATTTACATATATAAATTCATTTATGTGATATTGTTTTAATTTGTCTCAGATTCACCATATGTTTGGCGCAATATAGCCCGGTTGGAGCTGACGTGCCATAAAACCATATTTCATTCATTCATTCATTTATATTGTTCAGGCGTTCACAGGGACTGACAAGCGACCGTTTAGTAGTAAAAAGTTGCCCAGTAAAATTGACTTGGAAACAATTAGATTTTCGGCAAGAGAGCGAGAGACACAGAGAGAAATGGGTTTTAACGTCTCACTCGACACAAACTAGGTCATTTCGGGACTAGCATATGGTTTAATTTTATTTCAATAATTCGCTTGCGCGTAGGGGTCTTTAGCAGTGGGAGGAAACCGGAGGACCCAGAGAAAACCCACGAGGTTGGAAGATTTTCGACAAGGATTCAATAGGACAGTTCCTGAACGTACAGGGCAAGTGTAATGAGACCTACGTTCAGAGCTGAACTAATTTGATTTTATCCAATCAGTTGATTAATAAAATTAGTACTCACCTCTTTTATTTCCGGGTTGGCTTGGGTTATTATGGGCAATTTTTCCACTGATAAATTCTTCAGGACACATGGTTTGTATAACTGTAGCAACACATTTTGTTTAAATATATTGTTTTTCATTAATTAAAACTGTTTGGCAGTTACGACTAAATCTTTTGGCCATTATGACAAAAATATTTGGCCGTTATGACTAAAGTAGGGCCGTTTTGACCAAACCGGTTTTTGGCCATTATGGTATAGGGCCATTATGACTACATCCCATTGCAAAAAACAATGCGCATAAGACGAGTACGCATCAAGTGGCTGGCTGCATCTATTAATAATCGCCAGTTGCTATTTATAATGTGGGCGTCTCTTCCATAGGGTTATTATGACTTATAGTGTATGGATTTTGACTTTACGAATTTACTATACCTATTATTATCAATTAATGGAGAGGGGAAGAAATGGTGTTTAACGTCCACTCGACACAAACCAGGTTATTTCGGGACTAACACATGGTTCGATTTTGTTTCAATAATTGTCTTGCGCGTGGGGGCGTCTTAGCCATTCGTGTGAGGAAACCGGGGGGGGGGGGGGTCCGGAGAAAACCCACGAGGAAACCAGAGGGTCCGGAGAAAACCCACGAAGCTGGACACGCGACTACCGCGACCATACTCCCTGTCACGTACAACCGGGGAATCGAAACCACGCCAGTTGACTCAATGACAGACCTTATGACACAGCTTAGTGCGCACCTGCTAAATCATTCGGCCAACCAACCCCTCATCAATTAATGAAAGGTTTTGATAATTTAAATATAGGTCTATATGGAAACTGCGCATTTCAGAGTACCGAAACTGTATAATATATTATATTTGTAAAGATTAGATGAACATACACGGTATATTAAAAGAAGTTAGCAAACAATAAAAACCTATATAATTATCACGAAAAAAATTGTTACCTTTATATTAGAAAATAACATTTTAAGACATTATATGTCAGGGGCCGCGGAACAGGGGGGGGGGGGCTGCAAAAAAAAAAACCCAAAAAAACAATTCGTTATTTCGTCCCATTCTACATTTATAATAATTATAACTGGCATTGTTCTCGTCATGGATAACATGAGTGGTGAGTCATGGTCAGCTTTTCTTTCGTGATAGCAAAAATCACATCAAAATTTCAAAATCTCGCACACTAGGCTAACTGAGCACGCAGTAAAGGGGTACGGCCACCGAAACCAGCTTTGGTGACAAAATGTTTTTTTATTTCACAGAATCAAGGGATGAATAACTACAAGACCGCAAAATTCCAGAAGCCTCCTATGCTGGCTTTAGACTTGGCAAGAATTGGGGCGTTTGGAAAAGTGGACCATGAAAAAATTATGAAACATTTTCTTTTTATTTTGCTGGAACAATAATACTTTATCCTCTCATCTTGTAAGATGTGGGGAAAATATATTCTACAAAATTTTATTATGTGGTGTTTTCTACCACAAGAGTTCCACAAGTTGGACTTAGAAAAAAAAAACCACGTTTTTTTCTTTCAAAAATTTCTTCTCAGACCCCCTATATGCCTTTGTGGTACCACATTCTACGCGATTTTTGACTTAGAATAATTCTGATAAAGTGTTTGGGTCTGTGGTGTTTTTACCACAAGAGTTCCACAAGATATTGGACATAAAAAAATATCAATTTTTCAAAAATTTCTCCCCAGACCCCTTATATGCCTGTGTGGTACCACATTCTACATAATTTTTATAGAGTTTTTTGGGTCTGTGGTGTTTTTCACCACAAGAATTCCACAAGATACATTTTTACAAAATTTCTTCTCAGACCTCCCGATGTGCTTGTGTGGTACTACATTCCACAAAATTTTCGACTTAAAATAATTTCGTGAAAATCGGACCAAAACTGCCGGACAATATGGCCGCCCCTCGTACGCAAATAGTGTAAATATATGGTATATCAAGGTTGTGGACCCTCTAGAAGTCACAATTTTGATCCGATTTTGATGAAACTTGAAATATATCTTTATAACCTACAGATAGGACCGTTACTTCCTTAATTATGGCCCTTGATTTACGAAAAATCACTTTTTGTTTAGCTTGTTCACTGTCCATATCTTGCAAAATGTGGGCGTTTCCTGCCTGGTATCCGCTGGTTATCAAGAGGAAATAAATCAACACAAGAAAAGATCTTTAACACACAGGCATAGAAGGAGGTCTGAGAAGAAAAACACCACAGACCCAAAATACATTTGTGGAATGTGGTAGCACACGGGCATATAGGGAGGCCTGTGGTAGCACACAGGCTTATAGAGAGTTATGAGAGGAAATTTTGGAAAAAAATGATTTTTTTTTCAAAGTCCAATATCTTGTGGAACTCTTGTGTAGTGAAAAACATCACAAACGCACGATTTATGACGAAAATTGATCATTTTTAAGCTGATTTCAAAATTTAATATCTTTAAAACCACAAGAGATTTGTGCCCAAACTATGAATTGAATCGCAGCTTCAGATGTCTATTTAAAGATCGTACCAAAGGTATGTGGAACAGAGTTTGAAAAATAATATAAAATTAATTGCGAAGTTAACCATAGGTAGACATGGCAACGCCCTTAAACATGAAAGTAGATACTATATATGATTAGAACAGTTCAAATATATTTTAAGGGAAAGTGGTTCGAATTCAGTAGTATTAGGTGATAATGAAAGATTTGGTTATTAAAATCTCATCATTTAATGTAACTTTTATCAAATGTTCATAAATATTTGTTTGAAATTAATAATAAATATATCACAGATTGTCATTTGATGTCTAGAGATGAAGTGGTTTCGACGTTTTCTGATTTTCTGTATATTTAATGCAATCTTAGTAACAGGTAGGCAAAGCGTTATATTATATTTTTGTACTGAAAACAAATTTGAAGCTGAGTAATGTATCAGTCACTTACATTCCATTTATGTTTTTTTGCCAAGCAATTTACTAATAATCTTAAAATTAACCTTGGGCTAAGGTGTCCTGTCACTGGGGACTGACTATACATCAGTGTTTGGTTGCCACATCTTGAAGAATTAAGATTTTGACCAGCTGACCAAAGATATTGATCAATACAGATACCGAGTTTCCGTGTACATATTAGCGAACATGTAAAAGAGAGAGAGAGAGGGGGGGGGGGGGGAGAGAGAGAGGGGGGTTTAACGTCCACTCGACACAAACTATGTCATTTCGGGACTAACATATGGTTCAATTTTATTTTAATAATTCGCTTGCGCGTAGGGGTCTTTAGCAGTGGGAGGACCTGGAGAAAACCCACGAGGTTGGACAGGTGCCCCTTCTCCTTGTCACGTACAACCGGGGAATCGAAATCACGCCAGTTGACTCAATGACAGACCGTATGATACAGCGCGCACGTATATACCTACTCCACCATTGTCGCATTATTAGTTATTGTGTTCAATTTTCCTAATTTAATGTAAACTAATCAATTTGAGTTGTTTTTTAGCGAGTATTTAGCCGTGAGATATTTGATCGAATCTTAAAGTTACAATTTCATATTTTCTAAGAAAGTCAAAACATAATTATCTCTATGTCTTTTGCTCAATAGGTTGTCAACTCACTATTATATACGATCATAGGTTATCTTTCTCACACTTAGAAATCATCACAGCGGAAATAATAACACAATTACCTCCCAATCACCTCCCTTGTTTTCCTAATCCCCACCATGGAATAGCTATCTTCAAACGTTTGAATTTGAAGTTGAAAATGATATTTTTGCCAATTTCTCAACTGGCAATAGTGAATTATAGGATTAATAGGATTATTCTTTAACAAGGTAGGACTCTCTATAGATACCATCTATTTTAGGGCTTTATTTTAATACATTTTAAAAATATAACTTAAACATATGAAACTGTAACTTTAAATTGAGGGTTACGGAAGCGTATAGGGGTCATGCAAAATTTTGTAGAAGGTCTCGAGATCCTGCGATCCTGTGATACTTTCTCGAAATCCCGTGATTACCTGGTAATTTTCTCGAGATCTCAATTTAATGTTCTCGAAATCCCCTGATAATTTTCCGGGGACATCGATACCCTGTGTGCATTTTCTCGAGAATTCGGGTTAATGTTCTCGAGATATTGACATCCTGTGTAAATTTTGTCGAGATCCCGAGTTAATATGAAACCTTATATGATAGTGTCTCCACGTTGTGATGCAACCATTGTCCCAATACTTCGCACCAAATTTGATAAAAAAAAAATACTCTAACATTTGTTACAAAGGAAAACTGCTAACTAACGAAAGAATAAACGGACACTCGATAGGGTACCCATGATTTACACTAAATTTGATTAAAATCGATAGGGTTCATCGTCTTATGGCTTAAATACCTCACACCAAATATGAAATTCAAAACCCTACCACGTTAGCTTTAATATGTGAAGCTTTGAATTACAAACATGCTTGTTCAATTATTTCAATTTAATGTTTGGGCGACGTTTAATAGAAAATGTCAATTTTTGCATGGTTTTCAGACCATATTATTTTGTTTTAGAATAAAGCTAGACACAGGGTTTATTGTCTTGTGGCACAAATGCTTCGGAGCAGATTTTATATCAAAAATCTTGAAAAACTCTGGGTTCTAACACGTTCACAAGGTTTACCGGAAAATAGGTTCATTGTTCCGCCGAAAATAAATTGGGTTCCTCTGCTTATGGCACTTATGATTCAAAGGAAATTTGAACGATTGCCACTCAAAGTGTGGAGATACGCTCACGCAGCATCTATGCCTCAAGAACAGATTATTCGAAAGGAAAACTTGGTTGTTTAATAAATTGATCGAACATTCTTCAAGAAATCTAATCTCTATCGTGTTCACGTGCTTGTTATATCTCTGGGAGAGAAAACCTTATATTGCTGAAAATTAACAGGGGTCATCCTTGTCGCGGAACATGGAATTTCGAAAATCCGTTAAAAACAAGGTTTTCAAAGAATGGAGGGTATAACTCCGGATCGGAGGATCGCTAACCATTGAATAGCAATAAATTTCATGACCCCAAAGCTTCACACAAAATTTTAAAAGTAAAGCCTCTATGGTGTGAACAAGGCTTTCAGGGAACGGGCGGGGAGGGGACTATATTAAGGAACAGAAGGTCACAGAATGCTGAATATCGATAGGGTTCGTCCTCTCATCGTCACATATTTAAAAGAAATACGGACAAAGAGGGTAACTCTCAAACAGAAGTTTGCGGAGTACTGACAATCGAAAGGTCGTAGTGCTTCACACCACATTTGAAAAACAAAATCAGTTAAAAACTGTAGCCTCTATTACGTTAACAAGTTTTTCGAATAAGGGGCATAACTCCAGGAGGGTAAGGGGCGCTAGAAGCGACAGGGGCCGTCCTCTCATGGCCCCAATGCTTTAGACTAAATTTGAAACAAATCCGTTAAAAACTGTTTGGCTCTATCGTGCTATTAAGTTTTTCGGGAAAGTGTGTGTGTTGGGGGGTGGGGGTGGCTGTAAACTCCGAAAACGACAGGTTGTGGGGCACTGAGAATACATTAAATCTCGATAAAATTTACACAGGAGGGCAAGATCCCAAGAACATTAACTCAAATTCTCGAGTTCGTTAACACAGGATGGGAGATTCTCGAGAAATTTTTTAGGGGATTTCGAGAACATTAAATTGAGATCTCGAGAAAAAAATATTGAAAAACTCTGGGCTCTAACGCGTGCACAGGGTTTACCGGAAAATAGGAATACCGCCATAACAAAACCCCAGGGACCGCTGCAAATCAATAAGGTTCATTGTTCCGCCGGAAATAAATAGGATTCCTCTGCTTGTGACACTAATGATTCAAAAGAAATCTGAACGATAGCCACGCAAAGTGTGGATATACGCCCACGCAGCATTTATGCCTCAACAGCAGATTATTCTAAAGGAAAACTTGGTTGTTTGATAAATTGAATAAGGATCAAGCATTCATCAAGAAATCCAATCTCTCTCGTGTTCACGTGCTTGTTATATCTCTGGGACATAAATCTTATATTGCTGAAAATTAACAGGGGCCATCCTTGTCGTGGAACACTGAATATCGAAAACCCGTTAAAAAAAAGGCTTTCAAAGAATGGAGAGTATAACTCCGGAGCGGAAGATCGCTAACCATTGAAAATCAATAAAGTTCATGACCCCAAAGCTTCACACAAAATGGTAAAACTGAAGCCTCTATGACGTGAACAAGGCTTTAAGGGAGCAGGCGGAGGTGGGGGGGGGGGTGGTATATTAAGGAACAGAAGGCCACAGAATGCTGAATATCGATAGGGTTCGTTTCTCTCATCGTCACATAATATTTGAAAAAAAAATACGGACAAAAGTTTGCGGAGTACTGAAAATCGAAAGGTCCTAGTGCTTCACACTACATTTGAAAAACAAAATCAGTTAAAAACTGTAACCTCTATTGCGTTAACAAGTTTTTCGGAAAAGGGAGATAACTCCAGAACGACAAGGGCTCTATCATGCTATTAAGGTTTTCGGGAAAGTGTGTGTGTGTGGGGGGGTGGGGGGTAAACTCCGAAACGACAGGTTGTGGGGCGCTGAGAATACGTTAAAACTACGCGCACACATAAGAATACCCGAGATGTCGAGAAAATTTACACAGGATGGCAAGATCCCGAGAACATAAACTCGAATTCTCGACATCCTTAACACAGGATGGGAGTTTCTCGAGAAAATTATTAGGGGATTTCGAGAACATTAAAGGAGCTAAGTCGCTAATATTTGGGACCTAGAAATTTTGACAAATGGGTCGCAACCCATACAGTTATGTAATATGAATGTATATAAATTGATTTATATTCAATCGTTTCTGTTTTTACTCTAATTTTTATTCAGTTAGGTTCGGCGAAATACGCCAGTATTCTCAATCGAATATCAATCTCTAGCGTCTGGTTATTCCAGTCTACGCCGATATTATTTATTGGGCTTGCTCTTCAGATAAGAATATAGCATCACCGTTTGGCTTGACTTGTGGAATATGCCTAGCCTCGTTTTTAGAGTCCCTTATTACAAATAGCGCTGAATCAGTGAAACGCATTATGGTACACGATTCGTGTACCAATTGTAAAATGTTTATTTTGTCTTAAATATTGGATATCAGAAGGCCATCTTTTCCCGGTAAGATCAAAACATCAATGTTGATTTAAACCGACAATCGTGTTTTCAATGTGGAAGATTTTGGATGATATTGAGTTAGAGACTTAGCTACTTTAAATTGAGTTCTCGAGAAAGTATCACAGGATCGCAGAATCTCGAGGTCTTCTACAAAATTTTGCATCACGCCTATTTTGCTCATTTTTCCAATATTTGTTTTTATATCTGCATTGGTGTGTGCCATATAGGATGTAATAGCCTTCACTGGCAACACATCGTTGCATTTCAAGCACCCTGTTAATGCATTAGTCCCATGGGAAACTTATCAGCCATGTACCATAATAAATGTATAATTTAAGTGAAGAATACCTTCACTACTGAACTTTATTTATAAATATATCAAATCTTATTTAAATTAAAGAACATATCATCCACTGACTCAACCCCATCCCATCCCATATACATCATCTTATCCTAACTAACACCTTAATATCTCACTTCAGGAGAAGAAGTGTTCCTGTTAACTAACAATGAGAATATATATCGGTATAACACAAAGACCAAAGAGACAAAGAAAATTGCGAAGCAAGGTACACGTTAGTGATTCTTATTGTTCTTTTACTCTCTTTCGTTTAATTTGGGAAAATAGATATTTGTCACATCACAGAATATTTCATGCAGTATAATAAATAGTTCTATTATTAAAGACGAAAACATTAATAAATAAATTAATATCAGGTTCGCCAATGTCTGGAAATAAATTATTGAGAATCGATCGAAAAGAATAACTGTACTGGACACACGAGACTTAGAAAAAATTCTATATCTAGCAGCCGTTCTAGTCTATCTAAATCTCTGCCATCGGATAGTCTAGATATTTGCTTTTTCATTTTCATAAATGTCTAAATAATAATTTATACGACATTTGAAGTCAAAATAAAGACCTGCAAAAGGCAGATGTAGCTCTTATATAATGCATCTTTAATGAGCGACGTTTCGACTAGACTTTTCTATTTTATTCATGTATATATTGTTTCGTCATATTCTATATTTTATCATTTTTATACGCCCACATTTTCATGGGGACGTATATTGTCGTCGCCCCTGTCCGTCCGTCCGTCCGTCCGGACGTCAATCCGTCCACAATTGTTTGTGAACAGTCTACAGGTCACAATTTTTATCCGATTTCAATGAAACTTGAAATATAGGTTTATCACTCTAAGATCTCGGTTCCTTTGGCATCTATCGGACCGTAACTTCATGGATTATGGCCCCTGATTGTAGGAAAAATCACGTTTTTGGCTTGTGAACACTGTAGAGGTCACAATTTTTATCCGATTTTGTTGAAACTTGAAATGTAAGTTTATAACACAAAGATCTCGGTTTCTTTCGATATTCGCGCATATCGGACCGTAACTTCATGAATTATGGCCCCTTATTGTATGACAAATCGCGTTTTTAGCTTGTGGACCCTATAAAGGTCATAATTTTTATCCGATTTAAAAAAACGTTTTAATATATCACCGTTAAACCCTAAGGATGGTCGAGTTCGAATTTCGTGAAAATCGGCCCAAAACTGACAGACAAAATGGCCGCCGTTCGTTCTCAAATAGCGTTAAAATATGGTATATCAAGGTTGTGGACCCTATAGAGGTCACAATTTTTATCCGATTTTGTTGAAACTTTAAATGTAAGTTTATAACCCAAAGATCTCGGTTCCTTTCGATAAATCGCGCATATCGTACCGTAACTTCCTGAATTATGGCCCCTGATTGTACGAAAAATCACGTTTTTAGCTTGTGGACCCTATAGAGGTCATAATTTTTATATGATTTAAAAAACCGTATTATTATATCACCGTTACACCCTAAGGACGGCTGAGTTAGGATTTCGTGAAAATCCGCCCAAAACTGACAGACAAAATGGCCGCCCCTCGTTCTCAAATTGCGTAAAAATATGGTATATCAAGGTTGTGGACCCTACAGAGTACACAATTTTTATCTGATTTTGTTGAAACTTGAAATGTAAGTTTATAACCCAAAGATCTTGGTTCTTTTCGATATTTGCGCATATCGAATTGGACACAGATCACCAAATATTCCTACGCCGTCACCCACGAAACAAGGGCCAAAGCTATTTTTAGTCTTCCTCTCCCTTTTCCTTTTTCCCCCTTTTGCATGGCGATTTTTGTTGACTTTTTGGTGTAGAAATGAGGAAAAGGGTTTGAAAATACATTTTCTGCCAGGTTTTGGTGAATATTCATAATTTTGATGCGGAAGGATACAAGAGTTGAGAGGTTGGTTACGTTGAAATGTAGGGCCTGAAATTGCATGTTTACTTGTCTCTACTTCCAGCTTGTGTATCTCAAGTTTTTCATAAGGAACCTCATACGTGCTTTTGGGCAAGTGGTTGCCACATGTTGCTCCATCTGTGGTAGAAAGCGTTCTACCCAAGAAAATTTGGGAAAAAGTTAGAGCCGGTCTAAGATACGAGAATTAACATTGGAGTCAATGGGGAAATCTTTAGTGATCTGTGTCCAATTGTAATTTCCTGAATTATGGCCCTTGATTGTAGGAAAAAATCACTTTCGTTTTAGCTTGTTTTCTATCCATCTCTCGAAAATGTGGGCGTATCCTGCCTGGCAGCCGCTGGTTTGATAAAGACAAGAGAAGCCTAGTCGAAACGTTGCTCAATAATAAGCAATAATAAAACCTGTGTTTTAAAGTTCATTTAATAAATGCCATTGAAACAATTTTCGTTCACATGGATTCATAAAACAAGGCCAAGGTGTCTGTGGTCCATTACAATAATGAGATAAAATATAGAAATAAATGTGTCGTAATCAGATAAATTCACCCAATTGACAATGACTGTCTTATATTTACAGCTTTATTCATGGCATGTGATTATGAAAGAAATTTATTATACTACGTACAACAAAAAAAAAAATGATATGTCTACCAAATTCATCCGCATGGTTCAGGGCAGTGATGATATAAAAACCATATTGGGTAATGATAAAGGTAATGTTATTTGATTTTTATTGAATTATGTTTTATTGCATCTGAGTTCAACAAGAAAACATGTACCTTTGTTTTTGTGCTTGATACCCTCGACTAGAATGCCCGAAGATTATTAGTCTAATAGCTGTAGACCAAGCCGACACTAGCTAGAGTCGATGGAGATCGAAACCGGGTGGGTTAACACCACACTACAATGATCAGAGATCGAATCCGGGTGGGATAAGACCCTGCTACAATGGTCAGAGATCGAACCCGGGTGTGGTAAAACCACATTACACTGACCAGAGATCGAACCGGTTTGGCCTAAGACCACACTGTCATGATCAGAGATCGAACCCGGGTGAGATAAGACCACGCCGCTACAATGGTCAGAGATCGAACCCGGGTAGGTTAAGGCCACATTACACTGATTAGAGATCGAACCCGGGTAGGTTAAGACCACACTACACTGATCAGAGATCGAACCCGAGTGGGCTAAGGCCACACTACAATGATCAGAGATCGAACCCGGGTAGGTTAAGACCACACTACAATGATCAGAGATCGAACCAGAGACCAAGACCAAGACGATACTAGAATAACGGGAGATTGATTTCTGTTTCTCTTTGAAAAATTGTTTCTTACAAGGACAGGTTTATTATTAATTGAAACTAAACACAAACGGGTACCGGTACGTTAATCTTTGTGGGTTTCTTGTCCAAGTCTCAGATGATTGGTTTATATCATATTTGTAGACACTTCATTGAATTTATTTCGAACATTAAAATTACTTTTGTTTTTGTCTTTCATATTAGTTGACCCCACAGTTGTATCTATTAGCGTCGACCAAGAAACTGGAAACGTCTACTATGGTTCATCAAAAGGAATTGAATTTCTTTCTTACACACAGAATTATAGAAAGACCATTACTTTTACTTATAGGCAAACTGATAATTATCCTGTATTTTATATAGGATTCCATGGCAAAGGGTCCAGTAAAAGGTGATATCTTTTATTATAAATGAAATGAAATGGAGTTTAACGCCCTAATTTACATTTCTCAATAGAAATACAGTGAGATGAAATAGGGTTTAACGTCCTACTGTTCTGCACAGACTGGGCTAATGAAGACTGGCCTACACTACGGGGGAAATCTTGCATCATAAGGCCAATATAAAGATTGTAGTTGATAGAAATGAAATATTGTTCAAAAGTCGGCTAGAGGCGCGGGATCGATCAAGATAGTGACTGAGATATAATTTCTCTAGATATCCCAGACAATGAAAAGGCGTCCAATCGGGTATTGTGGTGTAGGGCAAGGACAAGACAAATGCTTCCAGTTGTATATGGGGTATAGGGCGAGGGTCTGACAAGAAGGCCGTCCACTCTGACGTGGCTGTGTAGAGCGGGTGTCTTGCAAGAAAAATGCTTCCCAGTCTGATGTGGTGGTGTAGGGCGAGGGTCTTGCAAGAAAAAGGCGTCCAGTCTGAAGTGGGGCAAGGGTTTTACAAGGAAGAGGCGTCCAGTCTTCGAAGGTATTATGTTAAACAGAGGCTCGTGCACGTATAAGAACCCTCGTTGTCAGTTCGGGGACGGCCGCTTACTGATTGAAGTTTCACCAATGGCACATTTATTACTAAATATTTGTAGGAATGGATGCTATTTCAACAATGGCATATGTATAATAGATTAGAATAGTGTGATAGTGAATACAGCTTATATGTATAATAACATTAATTAAACTATTACATTATCAGATCAACGTTTGGTCGTTATCGTGGCATTTCTATGTGGGTAGGTAGGAAGGTTTGAGTGATTTTCCTTCGCACATATGAAACTATTATCAATATGTACTGAGTAATCTCATGAATGACCTACATATGAAACTATTATCATTATGTATCGAGTAATCTTGTGCATGGCCTACATATGAAACAATTAGCAATATGAATCGAGTAATTATTTCGCCCATCTCAAACTATTATCTTGTGAATGATTTACCCCTGCCGAGTAAGGTTTAACGGAGGTATTATCTGTGCTTGGCTGTATCTGACATTCATTTTCTTTAAATAACTATAAAATATATTTTCATTTTATAATTACAGAGTGTACTTGTCTACATTGTATAATTTGTATAGGTCAGAAATTAATACCACCGATCTTATAAATCTTAGAGGGGAGTGTCAATATTTTAGTATTTTTGGTAAGTTGTGTGTATTTTCGGTAATTTGTGAGTATTTTAGATACGTTTTGAGTATTTGGGAACGTTTAGAGTGTTTGGACGAAAATATTGGGCTCAGTAAGACGTTGGCTCGCTAAACTGGAGTTCTCTTAATGGAAATGGGATTCAACGTATTTCAGTTCTGCTCCGACAGGGCATATGGAGACGGACATTCGCCATACAGTGTGCTATGAGGGAAATTTTACTCGGACATCTTTATCTAGCAGTAAATGAAATGAAATGGGGTTTAACGTCCTACTGTTCAGCTCCGACTGGGCTAATGAAGATGGTTATACGCCATACAGTGTGTTATGAGTGAATATTTTTTCCCGGACACCGGCCCTACGTCTTACTCTTATATCGAATACCAACTACTAAGGGTTCTTTTAGACGCACGTCAATGTGTACACGGCACCTCGGCTGTTCGTCCCACCCCGCCACTCTGTCCTGCACAACTGACTTTCTTGGCCAACACCAGAATCGAACACCGGATCTCCTGGTTAGCAAGGCAACGTCTTACTGACCACTACGGCTCCTAAATAGCAGTGAGTTATTTGTGGTCTCCTCTTAACGACTGATTTGGAGTGGATCCCGTGTTCGATCCCTGTGATGACCGAGTCAGTGCAGGGCCGTAACTAGCTCAGAGCAACAAGGGAGTCCGGAAGTTTTCTCAGGGGTGCTGTAATATTGACGGACAATGTATATCTAATATTTTATGGTCGAAATTTTTTTCACAGGGGGTGCGAAACATTTTGCAGGAGTGGGGGGGGGGCAAAATACGGGCCTGAGTCAGTGGCAGGGGACGGAGTACCTGACCAGGAACAAGGTATGGTCGTTCGAATGGGACAACAAACCGAGGCCGCGTATACACAATAGAGTACAGTAAAAGAACCCGTGACAGTTGGAATTCAATATAAGAGTGGGCCGTAGTGCCCCTTTTGAGGCAAAATATTCTTCATAGCACACAGTATCATACATATCCGTCTTAATTAGCATAATCGGTGCAGAACTGTAGGACGTTAAAACCCAATTAGGTTCATTTTTTCTAGGAATATTTTATATTATGAAACTGAAGAGGTGCATTTTTGCGTGTTATAATATATTATGAGTTGACAGGGTTCACTGTTTTCAGATGAAATAATCACACTGTTACTTTTAATCCCCTAACTCTCAATTTCAAAAGAAGAGGTAAGGCGGTTTAAGTTTTGTCGCTTAGTATATTTCTAATTTATTGATTGTTTAATTGGTTTTAATAACAGATAATGGTATGGTGTGTGATTCACTTAAGGGGTTGTATCTAGCAAATCTGGATGGCGTGAAGATTGAATCGCTGCCGAATATTGCAATCACACCATCTATACTAGGAGATATTGAATCCACGTGTGTTGTACAAGATCCTGTAATAGCTTATGGAAATTTGTATATCCTCTGTTATAAGCAGTTAGTAGTTAATACATTTTTCTAGTAGGGTTGTGTTGGGTTGAAACATAGCTGCTATGTGGGTGCATTTCTACACTTTGTGTTACTATTTCTTAAATGTGTATAACCCCTAAACTAAGTCTTGGTGGTCAGATTCTTGTATCTGGCCTAAACTAAGCTCTGACGGTTAGGTTTTGAAAGAGAGATATAGAGCGCTGGGGTGCTGTGTGTGTGTGTGTGGGTGTGTGTGGGTGTGTGTGTGGGTGTGGGTGTGTGTGTGTTTGTGTGTTTGGGGGGGGGGGCGCTAAGCACATGGCTGTACACACGACTCCAATGTTTATCACGTACAAGTAAGGCTGTGCAAAAATATCGATATAATCGATAATCGGTAGAAGTTATTTAGCGATACGATAATCGATATTGAAATCCAAATATCGATTATCGGTATATTTACCTTCTGACGGCAAGTTACGGTCACTTTCACATGACTGAACTTGCCGTAGTCTGGCATGCAGACGAATGAACGAATACACAACGTCAACACAACAACTATTTTACACCTCTGCTTACAAACTGGCACATTTTAAATATATATTATTGTAAAAAAAACTCAACTTTAAGATTAAATACATTATTTTAATATTTTCGTTGTTTTTGTTGTTATTACTAGTTGAAACTAAAATAGGTCACACACTTTGTGAACAATGACGATCGCACGTGATATAGTAAAATTAGAATTATCTCCCTTCTTTGCTCTTGATTGATTTGTAGAGAAATTGTCTGCTTTCACGATAAAACTAATTGTATTATTAATAATCAACTCAGCTTTTATTACTAAATCATGTCAGATACAGCCCATACAAAACACTTTTTTGACTTCCCGGGAAAATAACTATATCTCTCGTAATTTCTTGGAAAAATCTACTTTGGTTTTCGTCAAAATTAACCAATCATAAAAATTCTACTTTGAAAGCCGGTAATTATTTTTTTATTGTCCAATCAATAGACGCCTTCTATTATATTTTATTCTATTATTAGTAACACTGTGTGATCGCCAGTAACTTGCAAAGAGAAACCATGTATTGTCTTTGTATTTATCGGAGATATTGGAATAAAAAAAAGGTTCAAATGAATCAAGAACAAAACTTAGAATAATACTCAAGTTAATTCTACATTTAGCAACTAATTATTTTACATTAATTGATTTTTTTACGTACATCGGCACAGTATTAGACTAGGATAATAACACTACTGTGACTCGATCAACACAAATAACAGGTCGGTAAAGTTCGGTTTTTCCGGAAGAATGATAATCGATTATTATCGATAATCGCTGACAAATTCTTGCCGATAATCGATATTGAAATTTCATATCGATTCCCAGCCTTACGTACAAGCTGGCATTCGAAACCACGCCACTTTATTCAATGACATACCTACGTATGAAAACGAACAGGGTCGTAATATGTGTTGATTGGTGACATAAATAAGAACTCGTCATTGCATAGATTTTATATTGATGACGTCATATATATAAAAAAAATCAATTTATATTACAGGGTTTTAAAATTGGATTTAAAAACCGGTATCCTTAATCATTTGATTCCTACGATGCCAATTCCTACGATGCCAAAAATGCATTTCTGTGTGTCCATTGACCCACCAGAACGATGCACCGACAGGTAAGCCGTTCCGTTTCTGGTCTGAATACAAGACTGTGCAATGGATTGTGTTATAGACCAGGAGCCCAGAGGGTTAACCAAGCTGAAAAGTGTACCAATTTGCTCCTATATGGTATCAATGCATGTATATCTGGTATCATCAGAATGTAAGTCTGCCGGGTTTCTGGTGGTGGGTGTGGTATTCTACGCTCAAAATGCCATGCCCCCACCGCACAAACTGTCTGGCAGTGATCATTCATGATTCCTGTAGTGGTACTGAACAACTCCAAAGCTGTTTTAGGTGGTACAGATTTCAGCTAATCTAGCCTAGCTGTGGTCTGGAAATTAGAAAACTCTTGTCAGGGATACTCCACCACTGCAAATTTCTGGCAATTACATAGCTCTGTCATTGGTAACCCACCACTAGAAATGTCTGTCAGAGCGTTTTTGTAACACCTGAAGATGTACGGTACACTGTTGTACAATTTTCATGTGGTGCACTTTTGAGCTAATCTAGCCTAGTTGGGGGGCATGGTATTTTGGGCGTGGAATACCACACCCACAACGAGAAACCCGGTAGACTAACAGTCTGATGATACCAGATATACATGCATTGATACCATATAGGAGAAAATTGGTACACTTTTCAGCTAGGTTAACCCCCTGGGCTCCCGGTCTATTTCATCTCAACATGTTATGTCTGGTGAGAGCCACGGTGGCTCGGTGACTGAGACGGTGGCTCGCTAACAGTAGGACATTAAACCATATTTCATTTCATTTTATCACGTATTAGTTAAAAGACACGGACGCTTGAAATTTCAATCAATGGAAAGGGGTGTTCCCCAGTTTCAGATATAATCTGTATTGAATATCGCACGCCGAACACGTAAATCACGAAGAACGTGTGAATGAATATATGCAACAGTTTAATATAATATTAATGGACTCTGTATTCAATTTTTAGTAACCACAGTTTAATATAATATTAATGGACTCTGTATTCAATTTTTAGTAACCATACTTCCGGTTTCTACAGCTGAGATGGTAGTTGCAGCTGTAGTTATTGGTATTGTCCTGAGTGTAATCCTAACAGTCACCATTCTAAAATATAAAAAGAAAAGCGAACAACCATCCAGTTCACGTGAATGTAATGTGTATACCACGATGCATTCAAGATCTAACTACCATCAGAGTGAAGAACCGGGATATTCATGTAGCTATGACAACAGACAAAAAGATTGCAATGTGCATACGGCAATGCCATCTACCGAATAACTGGAAGTACATTAGCATCTTGAGTTTTGAACACCTCTGAACGCTTTTAAGTAGGCACGGTTGGCGTTTTTGTCTTTGGAATTTTGCTACATAAAACAAAATTTAAATTATTTGAAACAGGTTACTCCGTTTTAATAATAGTTTTCTCGACATTTTGACAGATTGAACATATATAGTGGGGGTTGGATGGCCGAATGGTTAGCGCGTGGGCTTTGTATGATAAGGTCCGTCAGGTTTCGTTTTCCCGGTTGTACATGGCAAGGAGTAGGGTTGCCTGTACAACCACGTGAGTTTTCTCCGGGTCCTCCGGTTTCCTCCCACGGATAAAGCGAATTATTGAAATAAAATTGAATCATATGTTAGTCCCGACATTACCTATTTGCACATGAAGCAGGCATAAAATGGTTAAACCATTAAAGTTATTGTATCTATAAATGTAACTTCAAAACATGGTATTAAAATACGCTGTCATGAAAAGAGTGGACTTGTCGTGTTCTCCCTTCTTCGTTCAAATGCTCCTTTGTTCTAATAAAATAAAGTTCGTCAATGTAGAAAAGGAAAACACCTTGGAGAAAGATTGTGATACTATGCAGGCTACCAATGCAGGATTCCTTCAACTTTCTTAGACTGACTCACAGTTCCTGTCACCATTTATTTCTGGAAATGGGCTACTGTTGTGTCATGGTTCGTTAAAAATGATATCCTATTACGCTAATGATCAAACATCAGGTCAGGGGTCTCCGCACCTTTGGTACAGTACATATTAGCCCAATTTCATAAAAATAGGGTTGACGTAACGTAGTGATAACAGAGATCAGTTTAGTAAATATAGGATTTATTTACATCAGCTATACAAAACAGCTACAGTTACATACATACAACAACAATACGGGAACTTAAACTATACAGGAACTAGACTACGACAGGAACACATATAACTATATTAAATCCACCATTCTGCCCTCTGCCAAGGCAACGGCTAAACTCGGATGAGTCCATACGCCGGTCCCTGCGTCTCTCCTCCTCTCCGCTCGCCTCTCTAACTGTCAGTAAGCTCCTGATTATATAGCGCCGGAGAATAGATAAAACCCATGATCATACATGCAGTTGTCTCTTTATCACTTCATGGTATGCTTACTGATCAGTGCATATTCCTTTGAAGTCATGTGGAGCTTGTACATAGATCATAATGTAGTTTCTAAATGACACATGGGATTAATTACATGTTTAATTAGATCATAGCCAGTTCGTGCCTTAACCGAAGTTTATACAGAGTTGAACGTCAATATCATATATTATCAAAAACCAGCTGAGGTCATAAAGTTCTAAGCACCTAAATGATCGTTCAGTTTGATGAAAGTTCTAGAGTACTTTGTCACAAACGGCCCGCTCTAATGAAACACTTACCCAAATATGGTCAAGTATCCACTCTGATAGTTGACGACACTAAACTTTTTTTATTTATATTAAACTAGCGCGTTTTCACCGGGGGACGGTTGGGCGAAATAACCACGGTTGACATCACAGGTTTTTACTCGTGTGTAACGTTAAAATACCTATGGAATAGTTGCTGTATTGATTTTGTAGAATATACCATTGTAACTTATAAAGATACATGTACCTCAAACACGAAAATGAATATGAAAACAAAAACGTCATCCATTCGTGTCTACTTGTGACGTCAGCACATACATGAGTGTTCGGCCAGTGAAGAACGTTACGCGTGTTGAGCTGGATTGATTCACGTAGATATGCAAACGAAAATGTTTCTTGTCTCATATAGAATTTTCCACAATTTTTTAAGGCCTTGCGTATATTTTTGATTGTGTAGAATGTGCTCAAATGCAATATTTTGCTTGATTTGATGTCCGTCTGCCACACAATAGATTGAACACTTCGGAGTGGAAATCAACGTCAACTGGCAAAATCACGTCGTTTGTGAAACCGCATGTTAGAGGATGCCAAAACGTAAACGAACATATGCTCGTTTTGGTGTTCGTTTTCGTACCGATGCGAAAAGTCCCTAATGGGTCTAGACCGACCATATTATCGTTTATATTGTTTGGATTTACAATACATTAGTGTTGTATACATTGTTAATTCGTAATGTTGTATATATTGTTTAGTATTGTATATATTTTAATTCAATAATACACCAGGTTTTTGGGGGGTTTTAACTCATCGCAGTTGTGGCATGGCATCTAATCAACAAGCTGCATGAAATGCTTCTAAGGAGTTTATTTCGATCTTTAAAGATGGGAAACTTCAACAAAATTCTGAAGAGTAGATGATTCGGGCTTTAGATTATGTCTTAGTCTACAAATAACAGAGCTGACTCTCTGAACACCAGAAAGTAAACAAAAATATGGCGGGTAAACAAAAGGGGGAGAATTCCTTGTTTTCTAACAGGGATCAGTTATTTAACATGAACATGACATAAATATTTCACAACAAGTTGCATACAGTTTTTCTTTCCATATTCCAAGTTTTCATATTTGTTAAACATTATTACTTTTGTTAAACTATTTAACATAAATGTAACAGATAGAAAAGTGGGGTTTAACGTCCACGCGACATGAGCTAGGTCATTTCGAGCCAAACGCATGGTTCTATAATATTTCAACTATTTGCTTTTCTTTTTTCAATGATTCAGTGATATAGAAAAACAGCAGCGCCTTCGTCAAAGAATCAAATTCACTAACTCGCTTGTCCTTAGGTGGAAATTGGAGCAATCGGAGAAAGCCCGCCAGGTTGGACAGGCGACCCCACTTCTCGTCACATACAAGCTAGGGAATCGAAGTCACTTGACTCAGTGAGCGACTTTATGATCTGCAGAGCCAATCTCCATACAAAGACTACAAATATAAATATTTACGATTTTATTACATGGAAACAGAATGAGTACTTCCAGGTAGGATTTAAAATGTCGGTCAATTGCCTTCGTGTCTGTTGTCAAGATGACAAAATTATAAACAGACAGTGTAAATTTCGTATGCTAAAGCAACAACTCACACCCACCCCACTCTCTAAATGTGTAAAAGACTTGTCAAATAGATAGAGAATATGAACACATCATATCATATGGTGAATATAGCTACAACATGTTAGTTTGGTACTAGAAACAAACTTGTCATATTAAACAGAGATGTATAATGTTATTAATTTGCTTGATATGAAATAAGTGAGGCAAGATCTCATATTAAAAGCGAAGTTTAATATTAAATCGAAAGTAGTGGAAAGTTATTACAGATAAGCGGCCATTTTCCGTGCCATTTTTTAATCTGAATAAATTCGGGTAAGCCAACTCTCTATCACACACATATTCATATTTTCTCTAGAATTTAATTTCCAATCACAGTGGGCGTATTGTGATTTAGAACGCCTAAACACATAAGTAACCTTTGAGAGTTTATTTATTTACATCTTTATACATCACACTTTATCTATACATGTTCCACCAATCAATAAGAAATAGTTTAAAATCTGATTCCAGTCTGTTAAGCAGTATATCATGATCAACGGTGTCAAATGCCGCAGACAGATCAAGAAGTCCTAATATAAAACAATCATGGTTGGCAGTATGGTGTTTATGTCATTATCGACACGACCTAGGGCTAGCAAATGTTTGCGGTCTGTAATCATTAAATGTCTGTACGGGATCCCTCAAAAACAAAATTCTGAATATTTACTTCTGGGACCACCACCAGGGCACGCTTTTCACAGCACATCTCGAGTACATCTACGAAACATAGTCAAACTTGGGCAACATGAATCCTTCTGAATGGTCTATTTTGGGATTAACCCGCTTCTAAGCAGGTCCAGGTTCACAAATGGCCGGCCACGCTTATTCGATACAAGCATACAATGGGTATTGAAATGAAATTAAATGAAATGGGGTGTAACGCCCTACTGCTCTGCTCCGACTGGGATAATGAAGATGAGCATACGCCATGCAATGTGCTATGGGGGAAGTTTTGCCCAGACAGCGGCCTACTCTTATATCGAATTCCAACTGCTAAGGGATCTTTTAAGTGCACGCCAATGTGTACACGAGAACTGTTTTTCGTCCCATCCGAACAACTAGACAGCTATGCCCGAGGAACTTTCTCGGCGAAAACCGGTATCGAACCCAGGACCTCCAGGATAGTGAGCAAGCGTATTACTCACTGAGCCACGGTGGCTCCACCATGGGTATTAAACTACAGAATCTAATTACGAGTAGTTTATTTTAATCTATGCTTGCTCTAGAATTATATCCATGTGTTTGTTGATTTTCTATATATTTAACCACCGTAGGCACAACGTCTAATCTTTTTCTATTTAGACTGGGAGCTACCAGAGATTTGTATTACCCGTCGGGTACAAAAGGTTTGAGAGGTAAACTCATTAGATGGTGGGACCATTCTTAAGTTTTCAAATTGATGCAAAGTATTCCCCCCCCCCCGCAACCCCCCAAGTCAGTTTAAATTACATTTTAAGTACATCGTTCAAACTGGTGCCAAAAGCTTCATTCTGGCACTGTGATTACAAATGTGCCATTCTTAAGTGATGAATTTGTTGCGAAACGCATTCAAGAACGGTCCAAAGGGGGCGCCTTAAGTAGTTCTTAAATGTAGAATTCGGGGCAAACCCCATTTTAGACGAAAAACCAAAGTCCCGTGTACACATTGGCGTGCACGTGAAAGATCCTTGGAAGTTGGAATTCAGTATAAGAGTAGGCCGTAGTGCCGCTGTCCGGGCAAACTTTTCTTCATAGCACACTGTATGGCATATGCACGTCTTCATTAGCCCAGTTCGGAGCAGAACAGTAAGACGTTAAACTCCATTTTATTTCATTTCTGTCTTACACGGAATAACAATTCATCAGTATGAAGATAGCCATCACGATAGATGCCAAGTCGTCGCTCTTCTGGCGAACCGACGAATCTGATATAACTCGGTCAAGTTATGGATGTAATGAAACTATACACCAAGAATCATATCTGCCATTGGAATTCCTTATCTCTGATTATATAGCCCCGCTCATTATCGAACTGGGCCAATTTCGAACATTCAAGCTAAATTAGAATAGGTGTTATTGTGTCCCCAAAAGTGTGGCAAACATACCATCCAGACAGGTAAAGTGAAAGGCGAGCGGACGGCGGGGTAAAAAAAAAAGAGAATTACAAATGTAAATACTTTTAGAAATAGTTGTCGCGGGCTCATTTTGTTGTAACAGCCACCACCGCCTGCTACTCTTCCCTTTCAGACAATATAAAAATAAAAGGTTTGAAAAAACGAACTTTAGCACGACGGACCTTCTAGAATTCGGCCCGTCCACTTCCATAGTTTTACAACCTTTTTCAATATTTTTTCGCTGGCAGCTTTTTGCGACATTCAATATGGTATTCATCA